TCAATTTTTGCCTCAAACAGATTTTCTTGTTGATCGTATATTTACATTGTCGATGCACTTATAAATCGCGAGAATAATGCAAAATTGATAAAGCATTAATAATTATACAGGATGTCCCAAAAATGTTGTAACTCCTTGGAAGTAACTCCATGTGTAGGAAATTTTAATGTTCAATAAACTACATAATGTACACGGTATACCAAAATATAAAATAATTATTGAAAGTAAAGTTCATACTATAAGATTTGCAGAGTAAAATAAAGTCCTGTCTAGGTTCAGTTTTTATAGGCACGTTTAAAAAGATTTTCTTTTGCATAAAAATCCGCAGTCTAGTTATAACTATTGATACTGCACGATCTCACGCAATTAGATCGTTCTGTGGATCTTTTAAAGATAAAACTGTTTAATGTATGGCTTGTACCAATTAATCGAACCGTACAAGAATAACGCGGCATCCCGTAACGGTGCTCCAAAAATTAAAACCACACGATAAAAATGAATTATATAATTCTCTGGAAGAATTAGATTTCAGTTCCTCAAGTTGCAATAATCATGCAGTCGTTGCACCGTCTGACGCAATCAGCAAGGATCTATTTGTCCTTTAATGGACAGGGCAATCGGGGTTTCCCCCCGTTTATGAAAGATGCCAGTTACGCCGACCATATAAAGAATTCTATATCGAATTCGACACTCTAATTATATATTTTTATGCAATTAATTTTCTCCTTAGTTATTAGACAAGTACTCCATATACATTGCGTTCGGTTTAAACGTATACACACAATCATTTTTCATAATCATTGTAAATAATAATTCGTGTTCCGACTATTCGTATTTTTGTAACTTGTCATTCTTTTATTATATTGTTACGTTTAGTAACGCTAGTAAATTTGTATGAACCTCGTCGAGATTTCTAGCACGATCATTGTATTCCCAATTGTGAAATGGAGGAATTAGGAGTTTTCTCGACCTATTTTTTGCGAAAATCTATTTCGAACATAGTCTAACACTAACCCTTTGCACTCCGAATTATATTTCAATTTCGTTATCAGCAACTACCAACGCTTTTAAGTGTTTCATTTGAAATTTACTTTAACCAAAAGATAAGACAATTTAACTAAATAAAGGAAGAAACAGATTCACTTAAATACCAGTTTTATTCTCATTTTTGTTATATTTCTGTAATTTTCAATTGTATGATATCTATTGAAATAATTTCCTTGGGTTTGGGGGGAAGCCCCCAACAACGAGTACTGCTGCGCACCACGCAGGTGTGTACACGATTAGCCTGGGGGGTGTTTATAGTTTAGCGGGGGGTCGAGGGGGCGCAGCCCACCGCTAGGCAGGGGGTCTGGGGGGCACAGCCCCCCCAGCATGCATATAGTTCTGTGATGTATGCTTTTTAAATTTTGTAAAAAGTTTTCAGCTTCAATTCGAAACTATGTGAATGCCAGGGGCTGAGCGCCCCAGACTCCCTGCCAAGCGCCACCCTCGACCCCCCGCTAAACTATAAACACCCCCCAGGTTAATCGTGTACACACCTGCGTGGTGCGCAGCAGTACTCGTTGTTGGGAGCTTCCCCCCAAACCCTCGACCGGGGGCTAGCTCCTGGACTCCCATTTTTTTACTGTATAAATGAAGATCGTGCCTGGCTTCCGAAATTTAAAAACCATGTGGTAACCTAACCAAAATCTAACTATTCTACTTCGTAATTAATGTAATGGGTAAGATTTAAAAAAATGTCATCTCTTGTTTCAATTTTCTTTATTAATGTTATCCGAAGTTGGGAACATTTCTGACATTATTTCAAAAAATTTCATTATGTGATCATCAAGATCGTATTGTCGACGAAAAAAGTACTCCGGTAAATAGCCTACATAATGTGCTCGGCGAGTTCCATACTTCGGAATATTCGCTCGTACTTCTCGCCATAATCTTTGGCGCCAATGTTTTGCGTGTGAGCATTTGTATCCGGATCAACGAAATTGAATTTATGGTTAACTCTTAAGTGCTGAAATCCTTCTTTGTGGAGGCAATCGTACGCTTTTCAACAATCGCTAATAATAATTGTACCAGGTTTGATCCAATTTCGGATCACTTCAAGTAGCGTTTCGGATGACCTGTTGGGAACTGGTACAATAAATATACGTTTGCTGGAGCGTTCTATTCCTCCGAATATCCACTGGCCAGTTAACATCCTTCCTTTATTAAATTTTTGTTTATCAATTTTGGCTTCGTCGATCTCAACAATTTCATTCTCACCTCCGATTGGAACAGAATGTTTCTCTGCCCATAGAACACACATTTGACGACAATAACTGGCCCAATCAACTGCCGTTTTCGCCGTTATTCGCAGTTCATTTTGTAGAAATTCTTGCCGTGGTCCGATAAAGGCACATGTTAGATATATATAAAGTATTTAATTTTCTCGCGACGCGTGTTCTCTCAAGGTTCTGGGATAAGTGCCATGGGGTCGATCATGGTCCTCTTACCAGAAGGTATGTCACCTTCCCCACTCCGTGGCCAGATTCTCCTAGAACACCCTTATCTCTTTACACGTGCCACGCAGCACCATGACGTCGGGTCATCGGCCACGGGACACAACTCTGTTGGCTACCGCCAAAAGAGGTGTATCGAGATCTTTATAGCTTTAACCATAACATCCGCGACTCTTAGAATTCGTCGCGCACCTAGCTATCGGTTACCACCGATCCTCAGCCGATGACAGACATAGGTCTCTGTCGTCGGCATCTCGAGACCCCTGAAAAGTAAAGTCGACGTCCGAGGGTACGATGACCCTCGCACGTGTATCACCCTTACATTCGCACCGACGCTAACACAAATATTTTGAATAGAAGCATGTATATTGCTAAACCACGTATTACTCAATGCACTAATTCGTGAGCTGCACTGTATTTTCACTCTTTTTTTATGGCAATTTTTCGAATAATAGACTGCATTACAATAAAATATTAGCTCTTCCCGATTAAACTTCGTTGGTTTTTCACTTTTGCACTTAGTACAATACATCTTTCCATGAATCACTCTTTGTTCAATTAAAAAATAAATTAGTGCATCATATTTGCCGCATACAGTCAAATATTCACGCAAGTTCATTTTTAATCCGTTGAAAGTAATTCAGTAACGACGTCAGTGTTAAACTAGATTTTTTTCTGAGCCTAAACAATCGCGTAAACGGACGCGGACGTGTATTCCGAGCCTAAACAATCGACGATTTAATGCTTACACATACGCTGCCTCGGACGCGTAGCTATACATAATATTCATTGTAGACGGTAACGGTAAACGGTAATTACCGTTTTTTTTTTAACGAATTACCGCAATAAAGCGTTACGAAACTAATCGAAATAACTATGTACGCGTTTACGACCACGTAGCGTGACACAAATGCTTCGGGAATACTAGCTCAGTATACTTAATTTTTAAGTAACACAAGTAATCGATTGTAACCGAAAGTTTTTCATCTATGTACTTTTATTTAAATTTTTCTAGAGTTCTCTTTCATTTAATTTTCTTCCTTGTTATAATATAAATTTTCACATCCAGTTAGGAGGACGAGTACATTTATATTATAGGATTGATTTAGGCCAATGATTAGGTGTAAAAATTAATTCTGTCCCTTTACAGTCAATCAATTTGTAACTATAGTTTAAGAAAAAATATTTATTCGACATTTTGTTACGTTAAATTACGAACTTTTCGAGTTGTCAACCTGATTTCCATTACAATGAATCTTTAATATATATAAGTCTCAATCTGATCGACACTACTACTTATCTGTATACAGGGTGTCCAAAAAATGTTGTAACTCTTCGAGAGGGGTGGTTCGGGAGGTGATTTGAAACAACTTTTTCTTTAGCAAAATTGTTGTCCGAGGCTTCGTTAAGGAGATATTAACAGAAAACGCGCTCATACGCTACCGCAGGCGCTCCACCGGTATACGCGCGCTCTGATTGGTCAGTGTTTTCCGTTAATATCTTCTCAACGAAGCCTCGGACAACATTTTCGCTAAGGAAAAAGTTGTTTCAAATCACCTCCCGAACCACCCGTTTCAAGGAGTTACAACATTTTTGGAACATCCTGTATAACCCTCAACCTGATGGACATTACAACTTATCAGTATATGCGAAGTACGGTAGTCCACAAATTTTGCTTATTGTTGATCTACTAACAGAATTTGGTTTTACAAACAAATATATGTGCTCTCTTAGAATGTATAACAGTTTTATAATAAAGAACGTAGTAATGTTTAAATTTATAAAAACTGCAGTTTAGTGTTTGATACATTGCCAACCCCATAAACTTTTGTATCCCCCTATGTCTACCGAAGAAATTTCTCCAAATTAAATGAACGATTTAACGTTTCCAAATAAATTTGGATAATATAAATATATGCATGTTTAGTTTATTATGAGCATATTTATAGTAAAACATTTATTTGAAAACATCAACCTATCATTCAATCATCCAACCTTCAATACACGTAGAGAGTACGAATATTTATATGACTGTACATATAAAAATAAAACATCTTAAAATTCTGTTTCGGTATTATGATTTACATCTTACTGAAATCCTTAAAAATTAAATCGAAATTCTGATTTAAACAATCGTATAGTGTTTTCTAACACTTTACCGACCGGTAGAATCCCTTTTGAATCGCGTTTTTCATAATTCATATAATGATGAAAACATATAATACTATCTCAGTAATAGGTATAAAAATATTAGGGAAAAAAGTCAATTAATAAACTTCCAGTTGGTAAAGTGTTAATGATAACCAAGGGTTCGCGTATCATGAAAATATCTGGAGAACGTGTACGTGTTGCCACCTGGCTTATGCATGTTTTACTTCGAACAATAACTGTTGTTTTTACTTTTAAAGTAATGTTTCCCAGAGTATGCATTTCAGTAGTCAAAGAATCGTTGCAACTCGTTAACTTAATAATTGTTAATTGAAAAAACTATGAATGAAATCTTTTTTACGAGTTAACAATTAATTTAAAATGAATAATCTAGTAAGGTTATGTCCATACATAAGGTGGTTCAGTATTCGTCGCCTGCATACTGCAAAGTATATACTAAATGTCGAAAACAGACAATTGTATGAAGATATTTTTCCTGATATTTATGTGTAAGTGTTTTTATTGTGACACTCTTGATGTTTATTTTTCTTTTTTTTCTCAATTTCAAATATGCATGCCTATGTATACAAACCTTTATAGGTACATTTGTATCAAAGGAATTTTATTTTTTTAATTACTAATATAAAAACTATGTATCATATATACATGATCATTTAACATAAACCAAATTTTTAAAGACGATATAAAGAAATGTCTACACAGAATTCGATCCAACAGCAGAAAGTTTGCACATAGGAAATTTACTTGTTTTAATGAATCTTCTACATTAACAATGTTGCGGCCACCAAGTAATTATTCTGTTAGGAGGTGGAACAGGCTTAATTGGTGATCCAAGTTTTAGAAAATCAGAACATGTTGAAATAGAGAATGTTGTGCTTTAAAAAAATCTGCTATCCATACAAAATGATATAGAAAAGGTTTTTAAGAATCATGAAACATGTTTTTATACAAGCAAACGGAGATTATTACCTCCAATAATACATAGTAATTTAGAGTGGTACAAAGATTTGAATATAATTTCATTTATCAGAGAGAATGGAAAGTATTTTAGAATGGGCACAATGCTTAATCGGACCTCTGTGCAGTCTAGATTACAATCTGATAGCGGTATGAGCTTTATGGAATTCAGTTATCCTCTCTTTCAAGGATACGATTGGTTGCATTTAAAGCGTACATATAATTGCAATTTTCAAATTGGGGGTCAGGATCAAATGGGAAATATAATGTCTGGGTATGATCTAGTAACTAAATCCGTTAAAAAGCAAGTTTATGGATTAACATTGCCATTGGTCACAGCCGAAGGTGGGAAAAAGTTTGGGAAGTCTACTGGCAATGCAGTTTGGCTTTCTCCTTCAAAATCCTCTAGTTTTCAGCTATATCAGTACTTTGTTAGAGCAGAAGATGCCGATGTGGAGAAACTTCTACAATTCTTTACATTTATGCCCTTATCTAAAATAAAAGTTATCGTAGAAAATCATTTTAAAAATCCAGATTTAAGAATAGCACAAAAAATTCTTGCAGAAAAAGTTACATTATTGGTTCATGGTGGTAAGTGAATAATCTTTTATAAACATTGATCAATACATTTCCTTTAATATAATTCACCAATAGCTAGTAGTAACTCGTGCTATCTTCCTACATATAAATTTTATTGTAACATACTTTTTACAGAAGAGGGAGTAATTTCAGCAAGAAAAGCATCTGCTATGCTTTATGACAGGTCTATTGAATCACTGTCAAAGCTAAATGCAAATGAACTGTCACAGTTGCTAGAAGGCGCTCCCTTAGTAGACATCCTCTCTGAAACTAGCCTTTGCGTTTATGATTTAGCAATGAAAGCAAACTGTTTTAAGACCGAACACGATGCAAGAAGAATTATCTCAGCTAGTGGTTTTTATATTAATTATCAAAAAATCACAAATGCAGAGGAAATTCTTGTACCTGGAATACATATTTTCAGCAACAATGTGACATTACTTAGAGTCGGAAAAAAAAATTATTATGTTGTACGGTGGTTTTAAAACGAGCATAAAGGTTACCGAAATCTACTGTGACATTCACATCAAATAATTTCAGTTTGTAAATATTAAAAATAAAATCTGATTTATCTTATTTATTGTTAATCATTAATATTAACCCATTGATGACATTGTCAGTTCCTAAGCTGTTTGTATGTTCCTTCAAGAAGTGTAGTATGATATACTTTAAAATACAGAGAAGACTTTATAAAGATACCCGATATTATTTTCAGAATAAATACATGAAAAAAGTATATATAATATATAGCCATTTATTTAACATTCTAACACTTACATATTATACAAAATATTTTTACAAAATTATTATATTAAAGAATCTTCTGAACGAATATACTCTCCTATATCAGCTTGATGAAAACACACTGTTGCCATTGGATCTGCATGTTTGCAATCCATTGTACTTTTTGCTGTAACTCCAAAACCCTAAAATAATAAATTCATTTCAACAAATTAACATTTTCTCGAATTTGTTGAGTATAGGTTATTGATGTGAACTTAGTATTTGCAGAATTATTAATTTATTTACTATTCATTTAATTAGAATTGTTAGAAATAATATTTAATGATGAAATTTGTATTGAAAGTTATTAGTTCAATTACCAGTGGTATGTAATTTGTCGAATAAATAACTACTCTTTGATACTGACTGATATTTTCTGTAATTTGACTTAATCCACTCTTAAAAATATGATGTCCATATAAAAATTGTTGTTCAGCAGACGGCTTAAGCCATATTTTTTATGCTAAAAGTGAAAATTGAGGCACAACAATATTTTAAAAATAATAATTAAAAAAACCAAATTATATTCTGATGAGATATAAAGGAATTATGAAGTATTATTTAATTTATTACTTGCGCATATGGAATTAAATGATATAATGCAGTAATATGTAGCCTGAATTTTCCTGATTTTGTAAATTTTCCAAAACATGTTCCAAAACATGTTAGTTTATCTAGAGCTACCATACTTGCCAGTGGAAAATCTTTTCTGAAACATAATAATCTAATCTAAAACACCCTGCCTTTTCTTTCCCAAAAGCAATAAATGCCGTCTGGACGGTCAATTAATATTTTCACATTGTCTCCAATACTAAAAAACAAATTAAATTACAGTTAATGTTAATATTATTACTGTTACCATCAATATAACCTTTATCGCTATTGTAACATTTTTAAATATAAAGTACTTTCAATTCCTTTTATCATGAAATACAAACCACACTTACTATTTTGTTGGTGTTTCTAAGACAAGCTTCGTTTTTTCTTCCGTTAAACGTTTCATTTTTTAATTGTTGTCCTAATCACTTTCGATATAAACAAACTTTCCCATATGTCACAGTACAGGATGGTACAGGGTGCGCAGGAGCCTAGCAAAACTCTGAGTTGATTTCAGCGACGGTTGCGGAAAAAATAGGAAACTCCGGGACAAGGATAGATAAATCCTTGTCTCTCCAATGATGCTGTGACAGAGATGGAGATACAACAATTGGAGGAGAGACAAAGATAGAATGATGTCAAACATTTGTAATTTTCCAAGCAGTTATTTACATTTTATGAGGCGAGGAAGCGATTTTCCGTCTGATTGTTTTTTAAACTCTTACTTATAAAATTTCACTGTGGGCGATAGTTATAGATTTTGCAATTTCGCTTTAGAAAGATGGTAAAAATATGTTCAAAGGTAAGACTTTTTTTTTTTCAATTTTCTCAAAGAAACGCTTGATGAGACGTTAGATTTACTTTCCCTGATTACGGAATGCATAATTATTATATGTTTTTTTCGGTATTGTGCCTGAAAAATAGGAAAAACTATCTAGTAGTTCATCTACTCTCCGTTGGTGGCGTCAGTTTATCTCCTGCGCACCCTTAGGCTTACTAGACTAAACCTTCTAGTTACTACGCACAGCCACTTCTAGTCAGAGATGGGCAAAACCCTAGGCTTCGAATGAATCTGAAGTTTGCCGATATGTTTGTCTCGTTCCCTCTTTTGAACATTTTACAAAGAAGGAAATGAGACAAACACATCGGCAAACTTCGGACTTATTCGAAATCTAGGGTTTTGCCAATCTCTGCTTCTAGTACTAGCCTACTAGTCGCACAACAAAACACTAGAATTATCTATACATTTATTTATTGGCATTATTATTATTATTATTATTGTAATACATTATCTAAGGTTCCAGTCTAACTCACTGGCCGTCAACACTCTCATCAAATTGATTCACATACTTTATTTTAATATTAGTATTATTTAATAATCATATTTTCATTATTTTTATGTCTGTTAATGTTACAGTCACGTATTAACTTAAGTATTTTACAGATTTAATGTTTTCATTTTAATACTAATGTTAATGAAGTTATAAATAATGAATTGCAATAAGTACATACTGATTTCTAGTGGATCTGATTAATTAAGGTATAATTTTTTACATTGTACAATAGAATCCCTTGTATAATATTGTATAAGACAATATCATAATTAATCGAACCCGCTAGTCAAGTTGACTTAAGACTACTGAATTAAGATTACTTCTTGTACTGCATCGATAAGATGTTGACTTAGTGATGGGCTTGGAAAATGTTCAAAAGAGGAAACGAGACAACATCGCCAAACTTCAGATTTATTCGAAATCTAGGGTTTTGCCCATCTCGGGTTCCGCCGAACGCACTGAACCTGCCTTGCGTCGGCCCTGGGATATACGTATCTCTACATACATCTACAGGGTGTCCCAAAAATGTTGTAACACCTTGAAAGGGGTGGTTCGGGAGGTAATTTCAAACAACTTTTTCCTTAGCGAAAATGTTGTCCGAGGCTTCGTTAAGGAGATATTAAGAGAAAACCCCGACCAATCAGAGCGCGCGTATACCGTTGGAGCGGCCGTGGTAGCGTATGAGGGTGACCGCCTAGCGCGTAGCCTACGCTCAACCGGCATACTCGCGCTCTGATTGGTCAGTGTTTTCCGTTAATAACTCCTCAACGAAATCCCGCACAACATTTTCGCTAAGGGAAAAGTTGTTTCAAATCATCTCCTGAACCACCCCTTTCAAGGTGTTACAACATTTTTGGGACACCCTGTATGTCGAAGGATTACAGTAAAACCGCGCGTGACGCCTATCTTTTAGGTTATGCAGGTCAGAAACTTTCCTCTAACGTCTAGTGATTCTAGTGATATGCGGGGAATTCCGTGTTGAATGCAACGCGGCGCTCGCGTGTCAATCTGTTGGCAGTGTGATTCGCCACACTACCATTTGTATCTTGTTGGGCCGGCGGCGTGCGTGAAAATTATTACCACTGAGAGTCAGCCTTGCCCACCATGTTCAACGAATATGCCCACTTAAAATAGGCAGCCCCGACTGTTCGGTTATTAATTCATCTTCATCTTTCCGTGTGCACAAACGAAGTAAAATAACGATCCTCTGTGATCTACCTTGTGTCTTCTTCCTCCATCGAAACATTCTCAACCCATCACATTCTTGGCCCACCTTGTGGTATGTATTACCGATTTTCATATTTTCTCGAATATTTCTATCTCCTATTAGAAAACTCTTTGTATTTGCTTACAAGTTAGGCCGCCTGTTTCTCGTCCAGTGTCCCGAGGAAATTTCTAATCTCGACTTTACCGTTTCGCGAATCCAAAACAGCCGTGAAAGTTTAAACCTGCCGAACACCGTGTATTAGACATTTAGCTAAGGATTTTCTGCACTTTTCTTAAGTTTGACCGTATCTCGAAAACATTTGGTTCCTTGTTTTCGAGCAATTCTATCGACACACTGTTACAACTTTCGATTGTATTGGCATAGTAGTTTCTGTTTAATATTATTTTATGCTATGGTTTCCTTTTCATCTTACACCCTTCTTTGCAATTAATTGCTTGCTAGTTTACGTGTGTATTTTCTTTGATAATTCTATGTATTTTCTATGTATTTTATTGTCTTCTAATAATATCTCTGCTGTAGCTGGCAATTACTTGTGATTGATTGCTGTTATATATTTTTAATTATATTTGCTATTTCATGTTTATTCTGTCCTTCATTTTTCATTTTATACTTCAGAATGTTAAACTTTTCGAAATTACATTAATAACACAACGTGTTTATTTTGTAATTCGAGTATCATTTCTGATTTAAAGTTTATGTTAATTAGCCGGGGATAATAAATAAACGTGAAATTCTGTATGAGTGCTAGAGAAAACGTAAAAAAATATCGTTACAATTACATTGTCTTTTAATATACTATTTTACGATAAATTTATGCCAAAAATGTGAAAAAGTGTACTGGGTAGTTCGATTTCATATTTCGAAGTAAAAAATTTCGTCTAATGGTTTTATCTGATGTAACGCAAGTAATCGAGAATAATATATAAACGAAATAAAAACCTACATGTTTAAATTAATTCCAAAAAAGTGTCCGCGGCGTAACAAGCATCTAACAACCATTAAACAAATGTAACGTGTAATTCATACATTTCGTAAAGTGATAATACTTTATTTAAAAAATTATGATTTTTTCATATACCTGAAACCCTAATATGAGAAACGTTACGATTTTATCGCGTATTTTTATCGAATGTGTAAAAATGTTTATCAGTATTCCGTATCGGTACCTCCACTTTATTCCTATAAACACACGTTAGCTAAGTGCTCGTGAAACACGTGGTGGAAATTATCTGGCGAAACTAGTAAAACTTTTGTATACAATTTTAATTCGGTTATTACTGCACTTTCTTACATATGCGATCATACTTTCTTTCATTACAAAAATTACGTTATTGGACTTATTTTTATTTTATTAAAAAATCGGTTATTATTGACTTTTGCAAAATTTGGTGAAGTCCCAAAACCTGAAGAGTTGATTACGTTTATTGTTTGCTCGTTAAAACTGACAAACGTATTAATTTATCACACGATTAAACTGGATTACTAATCTAAGTAAGTTTTCCTGTATGGACACGTGGATCGATTTTAGTAATCGTAATCATTATTTTGGATTTTAGTTTTTAAACGGAAGATTAAGATTTTCAAGCTTCTCTTTTAACGATATTTCTTAATTTTCTGTAAGTGTCGCGTAAACAACGTATGCCAGTGATTCCCAAAGTGTGACCCGTGTCTTCACAGGGAAGAGAGAGAAAAATAAATATTGGTAAAGTTGAATAATAAAGAAATTAAGTCTTATGAAATAGTAACACTTATAGTTAGTTAGCTTGTGCCACAAAATGTAGTCTGTCTAACATGTTTTAAATTAGTTTCATATTAATTGGTATTCAAGTTTCCGCCGAAAATAATCTGTACATATACTAATTGATTGCAGTTATATATTTTTAATTATATTTGCTATTTCATTTTTTTTAAATGTTTATTCTATTCTCCATTTTTCATTTTGTACTTGAAAAAGTTAAACCAGAGACTAAAAAGTTTGGGAACTTCTGACGTGGACTGTATCGATCAACGAATTATTATCTCGTTTTTAATAGTTACTTCTGACGTCACAAATTGAAGAGCCTCGCGGTTTTTTGGTTATTATACTTTGTTTGTTTTTTTCGTCGTAGACTTTGGAACACCTTGTTCATTAAAACAGCTAAGCCGTGTGCTATAGCACTAATGAATTACAAATGGCCGGCGATATATTAAAATTTTACCATGATTCCATGAAACAAATAAATATTAACATCGAATGACAATCACATTATGCGAATAGAAATACAAACTTTGAAAAAAATGCCGATTTCTATAATACGAATTGTAAAATGCACACTGAATCAATTATACAAACATAGATAGGTTCAGGATTCAGCTAATCAGATTTCATAGTTCACCTTTCGCACATGAGAGATTCTATACGTTTCTTACTTAAATTCACAATTACGGAATTTAGCTTGTTATAACAATGGAAGAATAGAATTAACATGGCAAAAACTGCCAAATGTTTTGTATAAATCTATCTAAAAGTGACGAATACCGAATAAAACTTAATCCACCTGGTCAGATATTCGACAATGATCGAATAAGAATTCAACTGTTCAGTCGAGTGAATCGAGTAAATTGTCGCACATTGGTTTTACTCGTCGCTTTATATTCGAATAGAATTTTTCTCATTGGATACTAATAATATTCGGTGTGCTTTTTTTTTTTATATAAATTAAACGATCGTTTTTCACATCGAGTTATTCCGTCTCGTTTTCTTGTTTTTCTCTCACACGAATACGATAACAGAAGTAATCATAGAGAAAGTTGTAAGGTATGATAGTTGCCTGGTATAATACATGCATACATCATACTATGTGTCGAACACGCTGCGTGTTGGAATTCGAATTGGAAATTTCTTATGTGAAACAAATGTAACTGGCTGTTGACAATTACATCGATA